TCTAACAAAATATAAGGGACACCTCATAAATATGTAAAATATCATTTCATCGCACAATAAAGATTGCTTTTTAAGAATATTTTATTACTTTTATTTTTTATGTGTATGAGTGTTATGCCTGCATGTATGTAAGTGCACCCATGTCATGCACTGCCCACGGAGGTCAGAAGAGGCTGTCAGATCCCCTGGAACTGAAGTTATGGGTAGTTGTTAGCTGCCATGTGCATGCGAGGATTTGAACCTAGGTCTTCTGCAAGAACAGTCAGTGTTCTTAACCGCTGAGCCATCGCTCCAGCCCCCAAGATTGCATTTTTATTGTTTTTTTTCTCTCATGTGTAAGACTGCTGTGCTTGTCTATATGTAAGTGCAGCCATGTGAGCAGTGTCTGAGGAGGCCGGAAGACAGTGTGGGAACCCCTGGAACAGGTGTTAGGTACACTTGGCACTATGTGGGTGCTGCAAACCCAACCAGGTCCTCTGCAAGAGTGGCCAGTATTCTCGACCTCTTAGCCATCTCTCCAGCCCCAAGAATAGGCTTTTAAAACTAACAATGAACTACTCCTGAACTTTAGCCTTCAACAGGAAAACTCTCCCTTGTGCCTCCCCCACAGAGTCTGTCTCTGAAGCTAAGTAAAAGCATCAGTGCTGTTACATTAACAGTCGCAGCCAGAAGACAGTGAGGCTGGGGGTCAGCTGCCAGTGCTTCTGAAGGAAAGCTTAGTTTGGCCTCTATTGCAAAGGATGAAAGTCCTGTTACTCTGCCTTGTTTTTGTAAGGACATGAGGCAGCTACATCCCGTGAATGTAGTAGGAATTCTTGATCTTGTTGTCAGGGCAGCCACTGGAGGGCAGGAAACCAGAAACTTCTATGGGTCTCCATGTTGAGCTCTTTCTTCCTGTGCATCTACTGTGATGGCAGACAGTGAGAACAGCCTGATTTGTTTTCTGAGGTGCTTCTTCCTCTTCTTATGTTGGCAGGTGAAGTGGATTTTCAGTGAACTGAAAGGAAGTTTGTGGTAAGAAAGAGAAGACTGTTTATGTAGTGCCCTATAGCAAACCCACAGGAGGAGGACAGGGATGGCTTCTTTTCACAAAAATACATTCAAGGTCTGGACCTGTACACTTTCTTTCTCTAAATGTTTGGTAGTTTGAACTTATAAACTTTGCTCAAATAGAAACCGGCTGTGTAGACCAGGCTAGGCTGAATCTCACAGAGATCTTTGTGCCTCTTCCTCTGGAGTCCTGGGAGTAAACTAAGCCAGTGAATTCATGACCAACCATCTGAAAAATATTTCTGATGTGATAGGTTAAAATTCAAACAGGTCAGTCTTCAGTGCCTAAGGAGAATAGACTTGGGTCCTCATATGCCACTGTGTTGTTCTTTGAACTGCACATAAAGTGATATTTTTGTTTGAGTTTATTCTGATAATTTTTACTTTGCTCAACATTTCATCCCACTGACATCACAGGTCTGATGGAATGTGCTGCTGGGTTTGTTGACACCTGTATTCTTTGTCTCCTGGCAGATGGTTCCTTTGGTTGAGCTGCTCTGCACCGAATCCCAGACTTGACATCATTATTTTTAATTTATTCCAAATAAGTTTTCTTCTGGTCGTTTACAGAGTGAAGCACATGAATCATGACATTTACTGCAGAATCTCTCCTTTCATCACTGGTGGTTTTCTTCCTTTCTTTGGACAAAGAAACCCCGTTTGTTTGCTAAATACTGTTTTCTGGGAGGAGATTCTGAAGCCGGCCTCGTTCTCTCTGTGGGTATTTCCTCTTCACACTCAGTCACAGCACGGCCTCCATGACAGTTTCTTTGAACATCAGAAAAGAGCTCCTTTCATCTAATATTACACACATGTAGCTGTCTGATTTTGGAGGCATTTGTGTATGCGGCATCAACATTGTTCGGTGTTGGATCTTGTCTTCATGTTTTCATTGCTCTCTGCAGTGAGGAGCCCAGTTCTCAAATCCTCTTATTGTGCATAAGTTGGCCAGTGTGTTCTTTCTAGGTAAATTTTACATAGGTAAATGAGGATAAAAAAGAAATTGCAATAAAAGTATTGTTGCAATACTTATGCACTGATGTTTCTGTACTTTCTACATTACATGCAGGGTATAGGCTTTACAAGAATTGTGTCTTCCTGCTGTGGAGGGAGAGCACACATAGTTCTTTATCTTCCGCCATGTTCCACTGAATGCTGTTGGAGAAAGTGTCTTTTGTACCTGGGGCACTGACCTCACTGCAAAATCTGTTAAGAAAGGGATGTCATGCCCAGCCACAGACTGTGTTATGGTAAAAATCCGTGTTTTAGCTAGTACTACAGTGCATGGTTATAAACATTTGAGTTCCTGAAGCAGACTTATAAATCAGTTTGACTTTAAATTTATGAAGCAGACTTATAAATCAGTGTGACCTTACATCAGAGAAATATATACAATTGATCTTGTATGCTAGAAATATAGGAGGGAAATTATATTCCTATGTTGAGGGCTTAATTTATGTGCTATGCTTCTTAACATCATAAGCTTCCCAAAAATTTGGAGGGTCTGATGCTATTCTTTTTGCACAGAGTTGGTAGATTATAGTTACTCCATTAAGAAATATCCTTTTGAATAATTCAGATTTCTCATCTATTTCAGAAGTCATTTACTAATTACCTCTTTCTTTCTTGGGTCCAGTACCCTGTTTAAGTGCACATGGTCTCCTTGACATTTTTCATTTTAGGATCCACTGACATTCAAGGATGTCTCCATAGACTTCTCCCAGGAGGAGTGGGAATGCCTAGACCTTGCTCAGAGGGCTTTGTACAGGGAGTTAATGTTGGAGAACTACAGCAATCTGGTGTCTGTAGGTGAGGAGATTTTTCTATCAGAACTGTTTACTATTTACCATCCTTTGGTACATAACAGTCCACTTTCTACATATGGTAGTTTTGCTGTGTAAGTCTTCAATTCCTTAAAATGAGTGTATTGGGAATTTCTGGGCATCATGAAGAACATGTTTATATTCTATCATTTCTTTCCATTTCCACTTGTTAGAGGAATTATTAATTTATTATAGAGGAATTATTATTATTCATTATTTTTGGTGTTAATTTCAGCCATGGTTTTGTACATGATACTGCAGCCAGAATATTAAGGTTCCATTTCCACAGCTACATTTTGAATCAGCGATAGAACTCAGTGTATGAAAACTGAAAATTCCTTGTGTATTATAATGAGTCGGTCCTAAAATAAAAATTGAGAAATTATTTGGAGAGTCATCTAGTTTTCTCTGTATTATCAGTGTAGCACAGTGCTGTGTTAGAAACCCTGTACTTTCTAAAGAATCCAGCAAGCCCATGTGCCTCTTTCTCATACACAGGTCTTGCTGTGTGTAAGCCTGTTCTGGTCTCCTGTCTGGAGCAAAGCAAAGAGCCCTGCAATGTGAAGAGAGGGGAGACTGTAGCCAAGCAGGTAGGACTGAGTTCATGAAGGAGGGCCCAGGTGAGAGGTCCTAAGTAAAGAGGGATAAATGGTTTTGAAAATGGTTTTGTCATAGTCTGTTTCACGTTAATGAAATTCTGATGATTTCATTTATAGCACTTTCATCAAACTTTGTCATGTGGTCAATGTCAGATGACTTCTTTTATTGCACATGAATTATGTGGCAATTACTCGTATGCGAACATCACTTAATTATTAAATTTTTCCTTATCTGTCATGTTACAGTTCTTGCCAGTGCAAGCTAATAGCTGATTTTTTTTCCCCTATGAGTTCTTCTACGTTTTTTCAATGTGTGTTTTTTATTGAATTTTTGTGCATTTCATAATCCTATCCGTTCTGTTCCCCACCCTGTATACTCCCCACCAGATGCATTCTGTGAGATATAATAAGGCCTATAGAGTCAAGTTTTTAACGTATTGTGAAAATTTTGTGTCTTTCCTTTTGTTCCTCCTTTGAAAATGTTTGTGCCCTTCGGAGTCCTTGTGATTTTTCATTGTTTTACAATTACTGATGTATTTCTCCCAAGAATGACTGTAATTCCTTGATGAGAATCATGTAGAATGTTTATACAGCAGGAAATTCTATATTGTTTTCCCATTTTAAATAAGAATACGTTAAATATGTCTGGCTGTCTACATGGCATTTGGGATTCCTCTGTTTTCTACCTACTCTTGATGTCTTTTTTGCAGTTTGGTCTGAAAAGAGGTTGTGAAACAGTGATCTTGTATAGTGTTTAAGACTTAATCATTGTCTAGTCCAGTTCTGCAACTATTCTTTGACTTTAGAAATTTGCATGTCTGCCCGTTGTGTGCGTATGAGGCGGTCCAGGCTTCTTTGGGATCCATGCTTTCTCATGCTGCTCATAGGCTCGTTCATTCATAATCTTTCTGACTTCAGTATTCTCCACAGATAGGGTACAGTTCACAGAGCCATGGTTTGGAGGCTGTGTCTTGTTCAGGCACCTTCCTTCTCTCTGTAATTCTTGTCAGCCATGAGGTAAGATTTCTAATGTCATGACCTTCCCTCTCATGGTTCAGTCTTGCCATTGTCTGTTAGTCTCTGAGCCCCATGGATACTGGACTGAAAGCTCTGAAGATGGAGCCAAAGTTTAATGTTTTATCTGCTGAATAATTTTTCTCAGTTGTGGATCAGATGAAAAATATACACAAAGGACTGTCTGGTAATATGAGAGAAAACAGATAAAATTTAGTTCCAAATTTAAATTAAGCTAAAAAGATGGAGATTACCTTAGTTGCCGGGCTTGGTAGCATATGCATTTATCCCAGCACTTGGGATCAAAGGCAGGTTAATCTTTGTGAGTTCAAGGACAGCCTGTTCTACATAGTGAGTTCCAGGCCAGCTGGGGCTACAGACAAACCCTGTCTCAAAAAGGCAATGCATGCAAATATTCTAGTAAATATACCACATGACTCTTACAGTTCAATACTTGACTCATCTCTCAGTTTTTGGCCATTCAACATACTTTGGGAAAGTCCTTGACTCTGTATTGAATTTTTGGGATGATTATAGGAGTTTTTGGTTTTGTTTTTTGTCTCTTGGAGACAGGGTCTCCTTGTAGGCCAAGTTGACCTAGAACTTACTATGTAGACCAGGTTGGCCTTGATCTCACAGAGATCCACCTGCCTCTGCTGGGATTAAAGGCATGAGCCACCAGGCCTGCCTTGTTATAGATATATTTTTTAAGTTTATCACTAAAATATTGTTACTCACTGTGTTTTATCCCATGTGTCACTTCTGAGTACCTATAGTTCATGATTCAATATATTCAACATTCTTTTATAACCACTATATAAATCATTTGCATGCATGCAACCAATGTATTTTTTACAATATAGTAAATTTTGTTTGCTTAATATTTTGGGTTCAATTTATTTTCATTTCTATTAAATTAAAAAGTATTTCATATATGTTTTTTGTATTTAAATACTCTCCCCTATCTGTACCTCATTTATTACCCCTACCCAATTTCACGTTCTCTCTGTCTCTCCCATATATATGTATATTCAGACATTCACTGAATCTTGGTCAACTTATGAAGCTTTTCCATCCATGAAAGAGAAACTTTCTCCCTTTCCTTGACGCCTATCATGGCCAGCACTTCCTCAGGTATCATTGGTGTTTCTTAACAACCTCTCCATGTCTATTCTGGGATTTTACCTGTCTTGAACTTATGTGGGACTTGTACATGCTGTCACCAATGCTGTGATTTCAAGAGTTACTTCCCAATTATCTATAAATCTCTATTTCTTTGTGTTATTCCACCATCTGTGACTCTTAAAATATTTCTGCTTGCTATTCTGAAATGATCTCTGTGGCTTTGGAGGCAGAATTTTGATACAGGTGTCTACTTGCGGATCGGTACTATGTAGTCTGATTATCTGCACATTAGTCAGTTGTGGGTCTTTGTATGATTCACCATGTGCTTCATACAGAAGCTTCATTATTGACAAATGAAAGATGCATTAGTCTAGCGTATAACAATAAATCATTTGGAGTAAATTTAATACTATATGTATTTAGCAGAATAATAGTATTAGGCCCTCTCCTATGAACCCTAAGCCTCATATCCATGCCAGAGATAGGGTCTGCCTTATGAAGGACACCTTAAGTCCGATTAGAAAGTGATTGTTAACTCCCAAAATATTTGTGTCACTGTTGCACATACCTTGCCAGAATCGTTTTGTTGTAACTCGCAGGATTCACATCTTGGTAAAATTGATGATCAGTTTTCTCTATGGTAGCATACAAAGCATTATGGACTCTAGTCAGTAGAGATGAAGCTTTCAAGTCAGTACCAGCTTGATTTCTCCTTTTTTCTTTTATAGCTCATGGGTGTAGTATCTTCAGCAGCTGCATCTTGTCATCAAATCCTGCTGGTAAGAGAGAATTAGTATCTAGAATGTATGATTAACTCAAAATACTAAACATCAAAAAATGTACAACTCATTGAATATGGGACAAGGAGCTGGGCAGGCAGTTCTCCAAGGATGGAATAGAAATGTCTAAGATCTTTTAAAATGTTGTACATCAGCAGTCATAAGGGAAATCTAATTTAAAACCATTTTGAGATTTTTTAACCCACTCACCATTGCAACATCCAAAAATCAAAGAACAAGCCGGGTGTGGTGGTGCACGCCTTTAATCCCAGAATGGAGAGTGGGAGCTGGGCACAAATTCCACCCCTTGGTCAGGAGCTATTGCTAATTGATAGGTGCTTGGAGGGAGTTCTTTTAAAATGTTGTACATCAGCAGTCATAAGGGAAATCTAATTTAAAACCATTTTGAGATTTTTTAACCCACTCACCATTGCAACATCCAAAAATCAAAGAACAAGCCGGGTGTGGTGGTGCACGCCTTTAATCCCAGAATGGAGAGTGGGAGCTGGGCACAAATTCCACCCCTTGGTCAGGAGCTATTGCTAATTGATAGGTGCTTGGAGGGAGTCAGTGTTCTTCAAGTCATGGCCTCAGGTATGTCACTTTCTCTCCATGGATGGCATCATACTCGTGTTTATGTTCAGTTCAGCGCAAATTTTGTGTTTTGGTAAAAAACAAAGGAAAAACAAAATCAAAGAACAAAATATTGTGTAGGTTGTGAATGGATGATATGCAATGAGTTCTAGGCATGGAGGGGAATAATTTGGATAAAAATACATTCTTTGCCAGGGTGTGGTGGCACACACCTTTGATCCCAGCACTTGGGAAGTAGAGCCAGGTGGATCTCTGTGAGTTCAAGGCCAGCCTGGCCTACATAGTGAGTTCCAGGCCAGCTGGGGTTACAGGGAAACCCAGTCTCAAAAAAACAAAACAAAAGCAAAAACAAACAAACAATAACTGTTTGAAATTCTCATAAATCTAAAAAAAAATGTGGGAAAACAAAAATAATATACATCACATACCATTATCAGT